TCAAAGTTATAAATTCAAGAGTGGAGACCTACATTAATTTAGTTGCTCGTTTGTTTTTATATATTCCGGGTTTTTAATTGATTTATTAATTTTCATAGCTTCCAACAAATTAATTTTCTTCCCTTAAAGGAAATTTCATTAATTCAGTGTTGAATTTTTATAGTTAGTACCCCTGTTCATTTAATTACCTCCCCATCCAGCTCACCTACAAATTTCCTATATAACCACGTTTTCAAATTTCAACCGAAATCCGTCGTAAAAATAAAATAACTAGTGGAAATTAGACAAAAGTGTTTTAATTCATTTTATTAAAGTGGTCATGACTTTCCACAAAATGAACAAGTCATCAATTACACAGGAATTATAGTTGTTGAAAGATTTGGACAGATTAGAAAAATATTCGATTAACACAAATTTGAACATTCATTGCATTAAGAGCTATTTAATTCAGAACAATATAAATATTATTTGTTTTTTGATTGGTTAATGAAAGGATACGTCCATGTATTAGTCGCCCTGTACATTATATATTTATTCTCGGCTTTCAGCCATCTTCGGGTTACTAGTAAGTAATATTTTCATGATTTTTTTATATTTTCAATCAATAAATATTAGAATGATATACAGTCAGAGTTAAAAAAATGTAATTTCAACATTCTTAAGTAATAGTTATTTTCTGTAGGTAGGGATTTGATTTTTATAGAGTAATGATAGCAAGTAGTTATCTCATGTCTTCAACATTTTGGTAACTGATGTAATTTGTGATTTTGTATAATCGTATAATTTTGAATTCTATCTTTAATTTTGTATTTACAATCTCCTCCGAAAAGATTACATAACAACGTTTAGTTTTCATCGCCTTGTGCCTGCGACCACAAATTTTAAAGATAATTTTTGTCAACCATGATAAAATCATTGTATGCATCAACATACCTATTCAGTCAGTGAATCGTGTTTTTTGCGGCGAACATNGACCAAGTCGAAAAAGTACGAATTTTGATTGTGTTTGGGTATCTACCTGTCGAATTTATTGGGTTGTCTGAATCATATTTTGAATAAATCGAAACAATTTACAAAAGAAGTAACGACAGGACCGTAATTTAAAATTGTTGTCACTAATGATGGTAGTTATTTCAAATGAAACACTATAAAATATCAAATGTGATATACTCTTGGATTGTGAATTTATCGCTTCATCAATATCTGTAATAAAAAAGACAGGTCCGTAATAAAAAAAGTTGACACGAAACGTTTTATCGAATATTCATTATTACATCGTTATAGTACACTACGAATACAATACTTTTTTCCATTTTTCGATATTCTCCGAAATAACAATTCCATTCGAAAAAAACGAAAAACAGCATTTTTGGTTTTCCCCGTATAACTCGAGAAGGGCGAGAGTCCCCGTAAATGTTCTTCGACCATTGTATTGTTCCCGATAACAGTTACCTTTTTTTCCATTTAATCTTCTTCGTATCTTTATGGTTTAGAATATAGCAATGTTACTACATGTTGAAAGAAATGCCTGTATAATAAATATATTTTTGAAAGTATGGATAGCTTTCGAAGATTTTTTTTCAACTAATTTATACAAATATCACATTTCAAATGCTAAGTATTCAGACAGAATAGAAGGACTCCACCTAACTTTCAAAGGTTTTTGTATTCTGGATTAATTTCATTGAATTTGATAGCTTGTTATAATAGTTCAATTTAGCGAGATTTGTACGTATTTGTTCAGGGACGTGTGCTCAATCTCCAAAAGTAATTATCAATTACGATACTAGAAATATGGGAGATATCACTGTGCCTTTCGCAATATCACAGATGACCCTCAATTCCGGCTCCGAGAATTCATAATAAACTGACAGATAATATCAAGCCTAGTAATCAATTACTGATTTACAAGAATCAACTTGAATTTTTTCTGGTTCTTTCATAACTTTTATTCCATAGATGATTTCACGAAAGGGTAATTTTGATCAGGAATTAAGAAGGGCACTATTTTTCAGGAAAGAAAGTTTTTGGCTTTCTACTACTTCATCTTGATACATAAAAGAGTGTGGGAATCTTCCAGAGAAACGAAGGAAGTAATCAATTTGAAAATAAGTAACTCTATACATGGATGTGTAGATCATGCAAAGTAGCAACTTTCAGACACAAACTGAAAGAAAGCCCTCCTGAAACAGCTCCTTTCATATAAACATTGAATTACACGAAAGAAAAAAAATCTTTCGAAACAAATCCTTTTATATGAACACTGAGTTATACAGAAGGTACTCTTCTCTACTCAGCTTGTACTCCAAACATTCGTTATGGAATAAAATCAGATATCATTCACAGGAGTTCTACTTTAAATGAATGGTAACAAATTGCACTTACATGGAACACTGTCATCCTCACTGGTAGACATCCATGTTTCGCCGTAAGACACTTGCCTTAGGACTCTTCAGTACCGAATTTGATAACATTATAGAAAATACACATAATTCATTCATGTATTACGATTTTTAATGTCACGGAATAAGTTTGATCTACTTATGTCATCAATGACATCGTTAAACATATTCGCAATATCCAAAAAATAACGTTTTGGCAGGAATATTGGTAAAGCATATTGTAGGACCTCTATTTATTGATCAAAATTCAACAGAGGAACTGTATTTGAATATGCTGGAAACTACTGTTGACCCTCTCATCACTGAAATCGTCGAAGTGAATCCTAATGAATTCGATATGGATATTGTATTTCAACAAGATGGGGCACCACCAGATTACTCCAGACAAGTAAGAAACTATTTGGATACTACTATTCCCGGTCGTTGGATTGGCGGTCGAGGTTCTACAGAATGGCCAGCCCGCTCGCCAGATTTGACACCATTGGACTTTTTATGGGGCTATTTGAAGCGAAACGAAACTGAACCTGCTTCAATATTGGATATACGGCAGAGAATAATAAATATTTGTAGAGATATTGACGTTACTGTGTTCGAAAATGTTAGGCGTGAAAAATCAGATAGGCTGTTCATATGTCAAGAAGTTCAAGACAACCATTTTGAGCATCTTCGGAACTGACCTCAAGCTTATTACCTCATATTATGTAGTTAAATGTCAATGTACTCAGGCAATTTTTAAAAGTTCCGCCATTTTGTAGTAGTTGAAGATATTGTCATTATATTCTAGGGTTCTGAAGCATTTGTCAGGAGCTTCAAAAAGATGTATCACAAGACCCCCTTTTCCATTTCATTTTTTTCCCAGACGGCACTCCGTCGCCATCTTGAAAGTTTCATCTGTCAATTTCACTTCAAAATAAAGTATTCATGCATCAATTTCATTATCCCAAATTTATTTTTTTTTGAGTTAGTCTGTTCAAAAAATAAAAGAGGGGGGGGACATTAAAGAAATGCACTGTATGTATAAGAAGGGTAGAAAAACCGCAAATGCTCACAATTTTACAATGTATGTACTTAGTTTTCATTTTTTGACAGGCAGCATTGTTTTTTCTCGCATTTACAGGACTATACAAATGCACCAAACTGTTAAAAACACACTATTTTTTATGTAAACTCGAAATTTCCGTTTCGATATGGGGAGAACCACCAAGAATTTTTTTATCACCTGTTTTGGTATTGTTTTCTACACACATTGTTGTCTCATAAACTTATTTTACAGGTGGCCCTTTTGGACAGTATATTCCCAGACGGAGCAGCCTACTGTTTGGGAGCACTTAACAAGGAGTGTTGGTACTTTTACACACTGAACCCTCTGCCGCAGAAAAGTTTGCCAATTTTCACAGGAAACGAAGAACCTGATCAAACTTTGGAAATTTTAATGACTGACCTTGACCCAGAAATTATGTCTATATTTACCAAAGCGGATTGCCTGGATGCCACCGAAGCGACCAAGGTCAGTTTCAATTTGTTGTAAATGGCGATCAATTACCAGCAGAACTGGTGAACGACTGAAATTTTAAAACTGCTTTAGGCGCATTTTGTACAATATATTCTCTGAAAATTGTTTGTACAAGCTAATAAAATATACACATGATAATAATTATAGAATTTTCATAGTGAATTTTACTGTGTATAAACGCTACTGTATATAAACGCGTTTTAAATAAAATTTATTGTGAAAGTTCTATAACTGTGATATATTATTGGAACTTTATACCAATAATTGAAATAACGCGTGGTTTTAATAGGTGTTTATTTCCCAACGACTCGATAGATTATGAAGTTCCAATATATTACAATAACTATTATGATAGATAGTGTTATTAATTTTCATCAAGTAACGGGTCAGCGTGATCATAATCCTTAAAAAGACAATATATGTCTGTCTTAGATGAATCACAACTCACACAAGGGGATTTGTGAGAAGTTCCAACATTATTTTGATTTTAAAAATTACCTTTCCAAAATTACAGTTGACCCAACAACAAATATTCAGTATTCAGAGATTCCAGGTATAATAAGGTAGGAAACTGTCATCTAATTAGGGTTTGAGGGTGTTGAATCAATTTGGAAATTACAACTCAAAAGTTATGTCCACTTGTGTCGCTACCAGCAATATGAATATGTCTCTTCTGAGAGATTTATCAACATTAATGGTTGAAATTTAACGACAAAATAGGTTACCCCTAGTTTATAAAAACGCAAGGTAATGAGAGGTATGGTAAGGTAAGAAAGTTGAAGTATTGAGAAAACACACTTGCGTTCTAGATAAAAAGTAAGGTAAGGTAACGTCGGTAAGGCAAGGTAAAGCAAGGTAAAAAATTGTCTGATTTCAACTTTCTGCGTTGCGTTATTACCTCCGACCAATCAGAAAGCGCCATAGTACGAACTTTGACGGATATATCCGAATAGTGTAAAGGTAATGTCAACAGATAAAGTTAAACGTCACATTGTGAAATTTGATTTTTCTTTTGATGGATATAAATACAAAAATTGCCGCGATCTAAACGCCTTGGAGTGAGCCAATCCTGGAAGATCCTGCCAGAAGTCCAATAATCTTCTTGCCATCCAGATGTTCAATTTTTGTTTGGCAAAGCCACGAATTATTTGTCATCAATTCAAATCTCTATTATTTTTATTTATTTCAAAAAATTAGTTGTTGATTATTTTTTATGATTTTACGTTCGATATTCAACTAGCAGTGGTAATCAATGCTTCTTTTTTTTTCAGAAATCCGGAATTGACAAAATAATTCCAAATATGGTCATCGATGATTTCCTGTTTGAACCATGTGGGTACTCGATGAATGGAGTAACTAAAAATGTAAGTAACACATTCAGATATTAAACTGAAATTCATTTTCATTTTTTTGGGGGATTCTTCAATGTAAGTAGTTACCCCAATTTTGTAAAAATTGTTCAATGTAAGTAAAATCTAGCTGCATTGATTCATTCAGATCGATAGAAAATTACTGAGGTTTTGTTTTCAATATTTTCTTTTCTTTTTTCATGTCTCCTCAGAAATGTACAGAAGCTGAAGATGTAAGTAGATAGTAGGCCAATATAAAATAGACGAAGTTGGAAAAAAGTAATATAAATTTAGATGTATTGTTTCGCATTAAGTGACTGAAATATACAGAATGACTGATACATGGATGTATTATCTCAAAAAGTCTCTAGTAACTTTTTGCAGTTCATCAAATTATGAATTATAAAGCAATAATTAGATTCAAAACAATTTTTAATTTCAGTGACACTTCTTTCAACTTATTACATGGAAAATTAATCAAAGTTTATTATTTCTCATAAGCTTTTCATTCGAAATTAGATTTGTTTGAAGGTGGTTGACAATATTTCATGGTGCATTTCATTAGTTCAGACTTCCATTGTCTTCCATTGTCTAAAAATAACAATTATATTAGACAAAAAACTGAAATTACAATGAAATAAAATACAAACAACAACCAAAAAATCAAAAAAAATTGAACTATTAACACGAGATAAAAATTACAAAATTATTAACGACGTTTCGATTGTTAGTATCCACAATCGTCTTCGGGTGATAACTTGACTTATTCCTCGGAGATCTGACCATTTATAGGTCATTCGAGTGTTTTTACCTATCCCTTCTTCCCTCTCGCCGCTTCATCTTTTTTAGCGGAAGCTGACCGTTTGGCTGGATTTAGTCGTGATCCATAATTTTCACAATGGAGAAGGAAGTCCACAATGAATTGCTATTCTTAGACGCATTGGTGAAGAGCACCGACACTAAATGGGAAACATCTGTATATCGAAAACCCACTCACAGAGGACAGTATCTGAACCAGAAATCTGATCACCATCAATCGACTAAGAGAGGAATCATCAAGACTCTACTAGACCGTGCTTTCGGGCTATGTAATACAAAGGAAGGTCTCGAAAAGGAACTAGGCATCATCGAAAATGACCTTCAACGGAATGGTTACCTCAAAGTGATGGTGGAACAGGCTTTAGATAGAAGACAGCAAGGCTCCACAAGGAAAAGAAGCCGCCACAACCAGTACTTGTATTTCCCTACATCTGAGGATTGTCGGAAAGGATGAGAAGGATTGGGTCCAACTATAACATCAGAACCTGCTTCAGATCTGGGAACACTATCCGTAGAATCTTCACGAAAACCAGGCCACCAAACGCGGACTGCGATTCCAAGAATTGCATTTTCCGGATACCCTGCGGAGAATCATACATCGGTGAAACTAAGAGGTCATTGAAAGTTCGCTTCGCCGAGCACAAAAAACACACATAGCGAGGAGAAACCAGCAAATCAGGAATAACAGAGCATGTTTGGACTCATCAACGTGATATCAAGTGGGCTTAAGCTGAAATCATCCACAAGGAGGAACACTGGCTTAGGAGAAAATTCAAAGAAGCCGCATATATGTTGTCCAACAAGGCATTTAGCCAAGCTAGCGTAGAGATACGCAACATATGGAAACCTCTGATCAAGCGGACCGCGAACAAATCCCGCCAAACGGCCAGCTTCCGCTAAAACCGATGAAGCGGTGAGGGTGAGGAGGGGATAGGTGAAAGCACTCGAATGACCTATAAAGAGTCAGATCTCTGGGGAATAAGTCCAGTTATTTCCCGAAGACGATGGATACTAACAATCGAAACGTCGTGAAGTAACTTGGTTTGGAGGCTTTTAATTTTAAATTTTCATTTCTTGTTGATGATTTTATAATTTTCATCTCTTTTTTATTTTTCTGGTTGTTGCTTTCATTTTATTTCATTGTAATTTCAGTTTTTTTTGCTTAATATAATTGTTATTTTTCAGCTATTTTACATATTCTTTCAGGGATTTCAAATCAATTTATTTCATATTAGACAATGAAAGTCTGAATTAGATTGCCAGTAAGAGTTGAAGAAAATTACATGTTGAAATTAAATTTTAATTTTTAACCTATGCTTTGTTCAGTATCCTTTTAGTTTTAGTAAGTGTCTTACTTGTGCGTAGTGTTTATTTGCTAGCATCACTAATCGACTTGTGTTCTGTTGGAATTCTAATGATACATACAGAATAGCAAATAATTAGAAATCCTGAATAGTCGATTTTCTGTTTATTCTCGGATTGATTCGGTTTAATAAAATCTACTTTTTCGTTAACCAGCTTTCGCCCCCTCCGAACGGCAACCTTCAGAAGCGTAAATTTTTGCAAGCTGAGCATTAACGAGTATGAAAACTAACTCATACATTTGAAATCTAAAAACGTGGTTGTATTGGGAGTTTGTTGGTAAGTTGAATGGGAAGGTATTTAAATAAACATTAGTTTTCATCGCCTTGTGCCTGCGACCACAAATTTTAAAGATAATTTTTGTCAACCATGATAAAATCATTGTATGCATCAACATACCTATTCAGAATCAGTAAATCGTGTTTTTTGCGGCGAACATGACAAGAAATGGAAAGAAATTGAATAAAAAGGAATTATTACCGAAAATCAAAAAGCTAAGAAGAGAAATCGACAAACACACATCGTATTCCTCTTCCTCATGTAAGTACAGAAAAATATACTATAATATAGTGTAAAAATAAATTATCGGAAATAAAACACACATGGGTTGTATTTATATCTGGCCATATCAGCCACATGACTCGATAATTGAATGCAAGAATAGGATTCAAATTAGGATTATCAGGATTGTATACTCAATTCCTGATAAGCCATGTTAACTTCCGACCAAACACATTCCCTTCAATACATTATTCACATGAATTGGTCTATGACCTTGCAAAAGAACATGCCAAAAATCGATTTTGTTTTCTTGATTTTTTCTTGGCAGGCCATCGAAGAATAAATAAACAACTAACCCTGACCAGTATACCGAGGCATCTGAACAATGTCATTCAATGAGGAAACAACATATACATTTTTAGGGTTCAGAAGACTCATCCTCGGAGAGCATATTAGTGAGTCAGACAACCCCCTTGAAAACATTCAAACTTACCCTGGCATTACTAGGGGATGAACCAGGGTTATTCACTAAAGAAGGCCCTGAATTTCACGAAGAAATCATTCAAGATGGAAGGCAATCCTAAAAGAAGGTTTAGATAACGACACTGGCAAAACCTTGCTTGAAAAATATTCATTTGGCAAAAATTGACCTCTTTTAAGATCACCAATACTGAATGAAGAATTGTAGTTAATCAAACTGAATGAAGAATTGTAGTTAATCAAACTACAATTCTTCATTCTATGTGTATCAACTATGTGTATAAATTCGAATGTATCTTTATTGGTAACGTTCTCCATTGTCTTACCATATACGGAATTGACATTCAAGTTGAAGTAATTCTTCTCAAACTTATTGGAAGCCTAATTCCTCAGGTTAGTATTCAAATCAATATACTTTTTCAACCATGGTGACTGATCGAATCTGGGAATTCTATGAGTCCTCATCACTATCAAACCATTACGGGCCGCCTCTTTTGAATTTCTATATTGAAAATTGAAAGATATATTTTATCATTCAAATCAGGTATAAATCTAGGTATTTTGGACTTTTAACCAGGTGGTATGATACTTTCCACCAAAAATGGAAAGTCTTAATATAGATCATGCAAATTGACGAGATAGTGCACATCTATTTCAAGAATGTATCAACCAAGTGAATCTGCCGAAAGATAGTGATTGAAACATATTATATGATGAAGGTTCGTCGTTGGAAAAAATGCCCCATATTGAAATCAGTTAATAATTTCAATTCAATGTCTTTATGCTTCAACATAGCATCACATCTCCGAGACCTGAAGATGTGAAATATAGAGCTGAGTCGAATTTGTATATACTTAAACTGATGTTTCTGAAATGTTTAAAAATATCGCGTAGCAACAGAATATGTGAGAATATAAGTCATATGTATATGTCAGAATATTCACCAAACTGCAACTGGGAGCATTATTTGCTCCTACGCTTCTACCTGCTCCTCAGTTTTCGATGAAATCAGCTTCTCTGAACTCTTCTTGGAGACGATTACCTTAAGTTCTTCCCGCAAAGTCTGTATGATGAATACTCGACCCAAATATGTCTCTTATCGGTTTACTGGTGAAGTCAATCCTTCTGGTTAGATGTCCTTTATTTTTCGGTCCCATTACTTGAATTACTGCTCAAAGCAGCGCCAACGTGAGTTTTTTCATCTTGAGTGTAATATTTTACCAACTCCATTAGCTCAAACATTTCATCATTGAGTACATTCAAAATGAAACAGAAACTTTTCCGCATCTTGTTGTCTACCCTCTATCCAGTCGGTCCGCATGTTATGCAATATTTTATAAATCCACGTTGGATCGAAAGGGATGTCAGTGGCCTTTCTTGGCATTTTTATCCACTCTCCTGTCTCTCGTCTCAATGTGGAAAGGTGAGCAATCAAAATGCTCCACAAAACGACACATTCCAACTATAACCGGGGTAAATTTCCTTCTCTGAAAGTAAACTTCTTATTACTATTAGAAAACCATACAAAGCCGCCACACCGTAAATAAAGTAGATGGTTTGATATCATTTTATGTGACAGTGGCATAGATGCAAGGTTTAGGCACACTTTTGCAGCTTCACGACTAGGTGTGGATGTAGAAACTATTCGTAAAACTGCTGATATCACAACACAACAAAGTTTTTGTTTCGGGGTTGAAATTAGATGATTTTAATGTATTTCCACGTGTTAAAACCGAAAGTGACCATAAAAATTATATATTAGCTCTTGTTTTCAAGATATAGTATCATTATATTATATATATGTATATTGAGTTTTCAACAAATGAANACATAACAATATTGTTTTATGTACTTTCACTTTTCACGTATAGTATAACTACTCTTTAAGATTAAGTACTGTGTATCTCAAAAACCAGAGCTAATAAAAAATTTTCATTGTTATTTTCGTTTTTATCACCCCAAAATTAGTAAGAATTGACTAATTTAGTGTAGGAAACATTCAAAAAATATTTTTTTGTTGTGCTGTGCAATGGATTCTCTAACAAGCCGGTAGATTCAGGGTTACCATTCATAAGCGGAGCATTGGGCAGATTCAAATTTAAAGAATTTGCGGAATTTAAAATTTCTTGACCGAGAAAAATATATAGTTGAATGTTCAACTGTTTGTTAACTTTTTATGTTATTGTAGTTATTAGTAGAAAAAAAAGTGTATTTTTCTACATTCTATATTTGTTGAATCATTTATTATAATTTGGTCACACTTATATAATGAAGTAACAATTTGATAAATAAAATTGAATTGTGAGAAGAACTTTTCTAGTTCTCTCAAAAACTTATGTGTTTATTCCTTAACTTTCACTAGGCAAAATAGTTGCTATCTTTAAAAATATTTGCGTTGTTATGTAATCTTGAGGAGAAGATTGTTGAATATAATTGAAAAATTATTCGACTTACCTGATGATTAATTTGAATTATATGAACAATCTCCTCCGAAAAAATTACATGCCCGTCTCTCCCTCAACACATAACAATAACGTTATGTGATTGTACCGTGTACGAGGTCTTTTAAAAAAATAAGGTGAATGTTAAAATTTCGCGGGCACGGACATTCGCTTAGAGATTTTTTTATTTCTTTATATGGGTACACTTGTTTCGAACATTTGTTCACAGTTTCATCTGTTTAGCATGTTTAGTTTGTTGATGAGAAGCATAAAAGTTAGAATTGTTTTGCGTGTTCAGCGATTTTCTGCTATCGAGAAAAATGTAATTTACATAAAATTTTGTATAAAAAATTTAATTGAGTGCTCAAAACACTTTAAACGCTGACAGTGGCATATGGTGATTGTACTCTGAGTCAGAAAAATGTTTACAAGTGGTACAAGTTTTTCACAGAAGGTTGAGAAGATGTGAATGACGACACCTTGGACGTCCCAGCACATCAACAACTGATAAAAATGTTGAGAAAGTGCAGAACATTGTTATGGAGAATCGTCGAATCACTATTCGAGAAGTTTCTGAGAATATTCGATCAGATGTCAAGGTTTTGCTCACTGTTTTCTTCGATTACCGTGGCGTAGTTCATCAGGGGCTCATGTCACATGGTCAATAAGAAGTGTTTCCTTGAAGTTTTGCACCCCTTTACGAGAAGCAACGAAAAGAAAATCTCTGGTGTTGTGGAAAAACAATTTATGCACCGTAATCATTCCTCAGCCACCGTATTCACCAGATTTGGCCCCCTGAGACTTTTTCCCGTTCTCAAGATTGTAGATCGCTGAGGACATACAAAAAAGCGCATATCACAACTGCTTCGAGGATTAGAAAAAATGCCGGCACAAGTGTAATATCTAAGAGGGCCCACTTTGAAGAAGCCAAAATAAAAATTAATGAATGAATAAAGGTTTTTGAGAAAAATAAAAATTCGCCTTATTTTTTGAACAGACCTCGTTCTTGTCACTAACATCTCCATTGTTGAGAAACTATTCTAGGAGCTCGAAATTAACTGATTCTGAAAAGGTAGGTTGACGCATACAATGCATTTATCAGGGTTGACAAAAAATTATCATTAAACTTTGTGGTCGCAGACGCAAGGCGATGAAAACTACACATTATTATGTAATCTTTTCGGGGGCGGTACTACAAAAAATCGTCAGGTGAGTCGATTTATTTTTTAATTATTTTACCATACCTGCAGCAATTCTATTGAAGATAAATAGAGAGGTACCACATTTTGCATAAATA